CTATGTACGTGTTGTCCGGGCCAAGGACCTCCCAGCCCGAGATGTCAGGGGATCGTGCAGCCCTTACGTTGAAGTTCGACTCGGCAACTACCGGGGCATCACGAAACACTTCGAGAAAAGACACGACCCGGAATGGAACCTCGTTTTTGCCTTCCCCCACAACCAGCTCCAAGCTTCCTTTTTCGAGATTGTCGTCAAGGACAAGGACCTCGTCCTGGACGACTTCCTTGGGAGGGTAACGTTCGACCTGGCCGACGTCCCGAGGCGGGTCCCGCCCGACAGCGAGCTGGCCCCCCAGTGGTACAAGCTGGAGGACAAGAAAGGTGGATGTTTGAAAAAAGGCGAGGTCATGGTGGCCGTGTGGCGGGGCACGCAGGCCGACGAGGCCTTTGCCAACGCGTGGCACTCGGATGCGGCCGCTGTTGGGGGAGACGCCGTCTCGAAGATTCGCGGAAAAGTTTACATTTCCCCTCGGCTTTGGTATCTAAGAGTCAACGTGATTCAGTGCCAGGATTTGATCCCAGGGGATAAAAACCGAGCACCTGAGGCGTGCGTGCGGGTTGTCCTCGGAAATCAGGTGTTGCGGACAAAGGTGTCGTCGGTTAAGAGTGTGAACCCATTCTGGAACGAGGATCTGGTGTTTGTGGCTGCCGAGCCATTCGAGGAGCCGCTAGTTGTTGCTGTTGAGGATAGGGTGGCCCCCGGAAAGGACGAGGCCCTCGGACAGTGCATGCTGCCGCTCGCTGCTGTGGCCAGGCGGCTTGACGACAAGCCTGTCCCTGCCAGGTGGCACAACCTGGAGAAGCATGCGGGTCCCGAGAGCCAGAACAGGAAGGAGACAAAATTTTCGAGCAAGATCCTGCTGAGGGTGAGCCTGGACGGCGGTTACCATGTCCTGGACGAGTCGACTCACTACAGCAGCGACTACCGTCCGAGCTCGAGGATGCTCTGGAAATCGAGCATTGGGGTTCTCGAGCTTGGGATTATTAGCGCAGCTGGGTTGTCGCCGATGAAAATAAAGGAAGGGCGCGGGACGACGGATGCATTCTGTGTTGCCAAGTACGGGCCGAAGTGGGTCCGGACGAGGACAGTCATCGACAGTGGGTACCCCAGGTGGAACGAGCAGTACACGTGGGAGGTTCACGACCCGTGCACGGTTGTCACAGTCGGGGTTTACGACAACGGCTATTTGCAGGGCGGGAAAGACTCGTGCGTCGGGAAGGTCAGGATCCGTCTCTCGACCCTCGAGACCGATCGGGTGTACACGCACTCGTATCCGCTGGTTGTGCTGACGCCATCGGGTGTGAAGAAGCGAGGGGAAATCCAGCTGGCAGTGAGGTGCTCGTGCATTTCATACCTCAACATGCTGCATAAGTACGGCCAGCCGTTGCTCCCAAAGATGCACTACTCGCACCCGCTCTCGGTGGCCCAGCTCGAGTCCCTCAGGTATCACGCGATTCAAATAGTCTCGTCCAGGCTGGGCCGAGCCGAGCCCCAGTTGAAGAAGGAGGTCGTTGAGTCCATGCTCGACTTCGGGTCACACATGTGGAGCGTGCGCAAGGCGAGGGCGAATTTCTTGAGGATCACGAGCGTCTTGGGCGGGGCCCACGCGGCCGCCAGGTGGTTCAACCATATCTGCCGGTGGAGGAATCCGGCGGCCACTGTCCTCGTCCACGTGCTCCTCGTGATTCTCGTCATCTTCCCAGAGCTTGTGTTCCCGACCTTCTTTCTCTACCTCGGCTTCGTTGGGATTTGGAACTACCGGTGGAGGTCCCGGCACCCGCCCCACGTGGACGTACGGCTGTCAGGAGCGGACTCCGTGGGCCCAGACGAGCTGGACGAGGAGTTGGACACGTTCCCGACGTCGAGGTCGGGGGACGTGGTGCGGATGAGGTACGATCGGCTGAGGAGCGTCGGGGGGAGGGTGCAGGCTGTGGCCGGTGACATGGCGACGCAGGGGGAGAGGGTCGGGTCGCTGCTCAGCTGGCGGGACCCGCGGGCGTCGGCGCTGTTCGTCGTGTTCTGTTTCCTTGCGGCAGTGGTGACGTATGTGACGCCGGGTCGGTTGGTGGTGCTGGCGCTGGGGTTTTACGTGCTGAGGCATCCGAAGCTGAGAAGTAAGGTACCGTGGTCGGGTGCTAATTTCTTCAGGCGGCTGCCGGCCATGACTGATCTCATGCTGTAAATTTTGACTGTAAAATCTCACCCCAACTTAGCCACAAGTAAGCACCATAACATGCTAATTATAAAATTCACTTCTTTTAATATACATTGGAGTTTATCTCGTAAAAATTTTAGGAAACTTTTCCAAAAAAATTATTAAATTTTTTATACTTATTATTTAATTTTGTTAACAATCAATTGGATTTTCAGTCTTCAAACATAATCTATAATCAACTATAATCCCAAATTCAATTATAAAATATTAGCAAATTTATCTAGCTTGTTATTAGTTAAGCTAGTAAGCATCCTCTGCCATGCACCGTAGAGTATGATAAGTATTAAATTTTTTATAAAAGTATTATTTTTTATATATAATGATAAGTATTAAATTTATATTAATATAATTTATTAATGTAATTAATTTATAAATATATTAATAAAATTTAAATAAATATTCTGACATGTAACCATTTTATTCAACTTTCAGAATTTATCCGGCCTCATAATAATTAAAAATAAAATCATATAAATACGTTTTTATGACAATAATAAATATATTAAAATTATTTGTTGCTTGTAAATAGATAGTTTTTCATTATGTGGTAGATTATATGGAAGTTAAGATAAAATGAAACGTATCCAAAAAAAATCTATATGCGATATTTTCTTTTAGTTGTTAATTTTTTTTTTTTTCAAAAACACATTTAGATAGGATATTTTAAAAATTTCCAAAAATACTACTATGTTTGTTGTTTAGTAAATAATTAGGCGGGCTAATTATTTTTTAGTTACTATTTTAAAGTTTTTGGATTGTTTCTTTGTATAATAATAGATATTCACGAAAAGCCAAATAAATTTCAAATAAAATGGTATGCATGATTTATTTACATACTAAGTCTCGAGCACCCAACAAAACTTTAATTTATAAACAATTTTTAAATAATAACAAAATTCTTTATAGATGTAACCGGATTTGAATCGAATTGTCATACAAAATTTGTACTATAAATAATTAATTAAAATATGTAACATAAGAATTTTAAAGCATGTATTTCGGTAACTCACAAGCCTCTCACAAAAATCATTAATCACGTTTCTTTCTAAAAGCATGTATTTCAAGTGTTTAGCTTGATATTAAACTCTTAATCACGTTTTGAAATAATAAACTAATTGAAAGTATAAATCTATTAATTTGCAAAGCACATATTTCGGTAATTGAAAGCACTTATTTCGGTTTCTTTTGGTTTTATCAAAGTGTCTATATATAGTATGTCAAATGAGTTAGAGTAAATTGTACTTTTGTACCCAAACTAAAGTTCATTTAGGAATCAGTACCCACTTTTTAATAGTTGCAAAATAAATACCCAAACTTTTATTCCGTTTGCGACATTAGTACCCGGCGTTAGTTGTCCGTCAAAAGGCCGTTACTCGTCACTGTTAGCTGTTAAAATGAAGGGAAATGTGTTTTTTTTTTTTTGCGCGCCTGTTGTACTCTATATATATGGCTTAATGTAGCCATATTTTTCCATAAAAAATCGCAGCTTTCAACAGAAATTAGGAAAAATCCGAAAAAAAAATGAGAAGTAATTCTAGCAGTTCTTCTTCTTGGAATAATAACTTTCCTGTCCAAAAATGTTGGTGTCCTTTTGGTGAACAACTCCCATTGAAGACATCATGGACAAAAACCAATCCCGGAAGAAGATATTGGGCATGTCCAAAATACGGGGTATTATTTTCGATTTTTCTTTTTTATCATATTCATAAAAAAATTATGATTGTATTATTCTCTCTTGCAGTAAATTGAATATTGTGGATTTTACAAGTGGTTGGATCCGGAAATATGTGCTCGTTCCAAACAAATAATACCCGGACTGCTTTCAAAAATCAACAAGCTTGAGGATGAGGTCAATGACTTCATGATAAGACAAGGAAAATTGGAAGCTGATTTGAGGAAAGCCAATAGCAAGAATAAGAGTTTGGAAAAACAACTAACTGCATTGAAAAATGAAAAGAAAAATTCCATTGTAAAAGTAGGAGTTTTTTTTTTCTACTTGTAGTAATTGTGTTCTATGTACTAAGTAGCAAAAATTAGCAATTAGCAAATGCAACTTATGTAATCAGCATTTTCCAAGTCAATGAAAGCAGCATTTTCATTTTCCAACATATGTATCCCATTACAAATTACTTAATCAAATGCAATATTATCCTCTGTCTGAACTCAATCAAAGAAAATGAACTCAATCAACATTATCTTGACAATCCATTATAAATAGAAATCCACAGTCAATCACCACAAAAATACATTCCACAGCCTTGTTCAAACCACAATCCATCATAAAAATCCATCATCATAAATAGAAGTCCACAGTCAAGCCAGAATTATCAAAGATATCATTATCCCATCACAACACAATTAAAACAAAATAAATCCAAATAGTCAAACAACATACTTTCAGAATAAGCCAACACAAATCCAGAGTTACTTGTTTGCAGCCTTGTCCTTACCAGGAGCTGCCCTATTCCTTGGCCTCAAAGCAGCTCTGATGTTGGAGACTGTTATGTAATTCACACCTCCTTTCACCACAACAGGACAAGTGACTCCCTCAGATTGAGTGACCTGCATTTGTACAAGTCATTAAGGAATTATATTGCACAAAGAACTCAAAATCCAATCCAACTAAAATAAAGTTTTCACTTCTATAACACAATAACTCACATTCACAGTCTGTCCTTGATCCTCATTGCCATTTCCATCCAACTGACTGCTTTTTCTCTTCCTTGTTGTTCTTGTCTTTTCCTGAGACTATAAAAATAGACAAAATAAATTTGACAAGTTTAAATCAAAACACAAAGTAAAAAACATAGTAAATGAGGATGATGTACAATTAAAAAAGAAGATAAAAAGGGTAAATTACCCTATTTTTGCTAGCTTCAGCATCATTGTTGTTGTTTGCAGTTGTTGGTGCAAGTGACTGACTTGAGAAAACATTGTCAGTAGCTGGTGGAGGCTGAGATTCACTCACTAGGATCTCCTCTTGTTCTTCATTTTGGTCGGCCTTCTTATGCTTTCTAGTATTGTGGCCATGTTCTCCACAAACTCTGCATGTCACACTCCTTTGGTGCTTTTTCAATCTCAGGGGATTATGAGGCAATGCACTTGGTGGCTCAGTTGGATTTCTTCTCCTTGCCTTCTTAGGTCTTCCAGGTCTCTTCACAATTGCAGGAAGGATAGGTGGGGGAAGCTCAACATTATGCCACAAATCAGGACCATTTATCCTTAATATTGGCAGTTCATATGCCTTTCTATATGTTTCAACAGAGTACAAATGATCAACATACCACCCTGGTTCTTCTTTTCTACACCAAATGGCAGAAATAGCATGCTTACATGGGAGCCCAGTCCATTCCCACTTCCTACAAGAACAAGATCTTCCAAGAACATCAATAGTGTGATGTTCAAAAGGCCCCATGATTTGAAAATTCCATTCATCAGACCTCATAGGAATGAGTTCTCCTGTCTTCTTCATGTTCCCATCCAAAATCATTTTTATCCTAGGACAGATACAACCATCCCATTTCTTTGCTTGCTCCCTGTTGGTATGCATCCTTGCCATCATGATGTTTCTCACTGTATCAAGCAGCCCAATGATGTTTTTTTTCTAGCAGGCAGAATAAGTGAATTAAATCTCACACACATGTTATTGGTCAATATATCACATTTAGGTGTTAAACTAATGTGAGATCTTGACCAGTGATTTGGAGGCTTCTTCACTATCCACTCATAAGCCTTAGGATCAACAGACTTTAATTTATCCATTCTTGCTTTGAACTCTTCCACCCTAGTACATCTTGCAGCAGCCCACAGTTCCTTTTTTATTGCCAAACCTAAAAAACCATCCTTCTTCATGTTGCTATGAAGGTGCTGAACACAAAATCTATTTTCTGCCTCTGGGAACAAACTCTCAAAAGCTGGTATTAGTCCCTTCTGTTTATCACTCATGAAGGTCCACATCTCAGCCTCACTTATGCCAATATCATCCCGCAACAGAGATATAAACCAAAGCCATGAATCTTTGGTTTCAGCTTCTACAACTGCCCATGCTATTGGAAACATGTTGTTGTTGGGATCAATCCCACAAGCAGTCAACAACTGACCCCCATAGCACCCCTTCAAAAAACACCCATCAACCCCAACCACTTTTCTACAAGCTTTGAAACCCTCCTTACAAGCTTTAAAACACACATAAAACCTATGAAACTGATTGACCACACCCCCATTTTCAATTAATTTGAGGACCACAGTTGACCCAGGATTAGACCTCAGTAACTCAGCACAATAATCCCTCAACTTACTATATTGTTCTTTCACATCACCCTCAAGAAGCCTTCTGGCAGCAATTCTGGCCCTATAAGCTTGATGTTTGGAGATTTTGCCTTCAATTTAGAACACACATGTTCCCTAAACCCTGTTATTTGTATCTTAGGATTTTTTTTGACTTCTTTCATAAAATGTTTACCCACCCAAGTTGACTTTATAGTAGAATTATTATAGCTCCAAGCACAGTTAGTGTGTGTTCATCATTGAACACCTTAACTTGCCAAGTACTGCCATGTTGCATTGGAGCAACATATGCTTTTCATTCACAACCTTCAGTCTTGCACCTTGCCCTAAGCCTTCTGTTGTCATTCCTATCAAAGAAAATTGACTTCCCAGCCCTAAAGCAGTAAGTCTCAATGGCAGACTTTGCCTCTGCTTTGGAACTAAAAACCAGTCCTAATTTAAGGGCTGGCTTCCTACTATCTGTAGTAGGGTTGTACTTGGGGTACTTTGGCATGCACAAGTCATCTTCATCAGAACCAACCAAACTCTCAAGCTCATCACTACTATTGACTGGTTCTAATGTGTCCCCTTCTAATCTAGAACTAACTTCATCTCCCAACATGTTTTTCAGAGGGTGGGAACTCTTACCTAAGCCAACAAACTCAACATCATGATCAACATATTTCTCAAACAACCTATCA